GTCTTGCTTTTTAATCCATCCTGCCACTCGGTGTCTTTTGATTGGAGAGTTCTATCCATTTACATTTAGAGTAATTATTGATATATGAGGGCTTAATGTTGCTGTTTTATCACTTATTTTCCAGTTCTTTTGCATTTCCTTTGTTTCTTGTCCCATGTGTTTTGGACTGCCAATTGTTTGGTCCTTCTGTCTTATGACTCTTTTAGTTTTCTCTTTATTTATCATATGTGTTTTTGTTCTGATTATTTGTTTAGTGGTTACCTTGAGGTTTGTATAAAAAATCTTGTGTATGAGATAGTCCATTATCTGGTGGCCTCTTATTTCCTTATACTAAGTCAATTCTATTGCTTTCCTCTTCCCCTTCTAAGTTATTCTTGTCACAACTTATTCTATCTTGTGTTGTGGGTGTGTGTTTAAAGTGATGAGGTTATATTTATTTTTGGTGATTTCCTTCCTTTGATCTTTGATTTTGGTATTTAAGTGGTTGCTAACCTATTCCGGTAAAGATCTGCTATTTTTCTGATTTTGTCTATCTGTTTTTCTCCTTGCTCCAAGCTTTATATTCCCTTTCACTTCTTTTTTTCAGGCTTGAGGGCCTTCTGGAGCATTTCTTGTAGTGGGGGTCTTGTGGCCATGAACTCCCGTAGCTTTTGTTTATCTGGGAAAGTTATTATTTCTCCATCATATTTGAAGGATATTTTTGCTGGATAGAGTATTCTTGGCTGAAAGTTTTTGTCTTTCAGTATTTTGAATATATCATTCCAGTCTCTCCTAGCCTGTAAAGTTTCTGAGAGCCTGATGGGAGTTCCTTTGTACATTATTTTTTGTTTTTGTCTAGCAGCCCTTAATATTGTTTCTTTGTCATTGACTTTAGCCAGCTTTACTACTATATGCCTTGGAGTGGGCCTTTGCCTTTTGACGTATTTAGGCGACCTACTGGCTTCACTTACTGGTATTTCCTGCTCCTTCCCCAGATTTGGGAAGTTCTCAGCTATTATTTCCTTGAATAGGCTGTCTGTTCCTCTTTCCTTCTCTTCTCCCTTAGGAATACATATAATTCTTATGTTACATTTCCTAATTGAGTCAGATATTTCTTGGAGACATTTTTCATTTCTTTTTAGTCTTAGTTCTCTCTCCTCCTCCATCTGCAGCATACCTGTATTCCTATCCTCTGTAATGCTAATTCTTTCCTCCATATTGTCAGCTCTGTTCTTTAAAGATTCCACATTCTCCTTTATCTCCTCCACTGTGTTCTTAATCTCCATCAATACTGATTGGTTTTTCTTTATGATTTCAATCTCTTTTGTGAAGAAACTTCTTATCTCGTTGAATTGTTTATCTTTATTTTGTTGAGCTTTTTTATGATAGCTATTTTGAATTCTCTGTCGTTTAGGTTATGGATTTCTATGCCTTCAGGGTTGATTTCTGGGTGCTTGTCATTTTCCTTCTGGTCTGACGATTTAATGTACTTTTGCATTGTGGTTGCTGTATTGGCTTTGTTTTTCCTCATCCTGGAAATATCTGGTTGCAGTTTCCACCTGCCATTACCGTGTGGGGGTCAAGGGCTGTGTAATCTGAGCATCCTGCACTGCCACGGGCCACCTGCGCTCTGCCTGGGCTGCTCTGCTGCTGCGGGCTGCCCACGCTCCGCCCGGGCTGCTCTGACTGATCGGCTGAGCTGCAGTGTCGGGCATGCGGGAGGGAAGTGCTCTCTCTTTTGCCCGCTGGGTCCCTGGTGGGGAGGCGCTTCTCGCTCGCCCCTTGTTATCCACTCTCCTGGGGTGCTCAAATGTTTATGGTACCCCTGCAGCAGTGCTGAGTCCTCTGTGTGGGAGTTTCCCGCTGGCTGAGAGAGCCTGAAGAGCTACGGTTTCCCCACAGAGTGCCACCCTTCCTCCCTCTCTTGGAGCCGCGCAGACCCAAATCACTGATCTGATGGGGAGGGAGAGGATTTCTCCTTACCTCTGCCCGCTTCCTCCAGGGACCCCAGCACGTCCACTCTCAGATGTGTGGCAGTGTGGGTTTTTCCGATGTCCCTTTGTGCTGTGTGCGAGTCCCTTGTTTGTCTGTGAATGTCCCTTTTGTTGTATCTTATCGGGGGAAGAGTTTACGGGAAAGCTCACTCTGCCATGATGCTGATGTCACTTCTCAAATTATCCTATTTTTAATATGTCATCTGTTTTCTTTGGGACCCTTGGGAGTTTTTATAATGACTGTGTTGGATTTTGTCAAATCTTTTTCTGTGTCTATTGAAATGATCGTATGGTTTTTGTCCTTTCTTCTATTAATAGGGTGTATTACATTAATTGATTTTCAGATGTTAAGCTATCCTAACATTCGTAGGATAAATCCCACTTGGTCATGGTATTTGTTATATGGTTTTTATATGTTGGATTTGGTTTGCTAATATCTTTTGAGGATTTTTGTGTTTATAGTCATAAGGGATGTTGATCTGTATTTGGTGTGTGTGTGTGTGTGATATGTTTGTCTGCCTTTGGTATCAGGGTGTGATACTGGCCTCAAAGAATGAACTTGGAAGTGTCCTTTCCTCCTTTATTTTCTGAAGGAGTTTATATTATAGAGTATTGATATCATTTATTTTTTAAATGTTTGATAGAATTCGGTAGTAAAGCCATCTAGACCTGGGCTTTTCTTTGTAGGAAAGATTTTAATCACTAATTCAATTTCTTTACTTGTTATAGGTCTATTCAGAGTTTCTATTTCTTCTTGAGTCAATTTTGGTAATTTGTGTTTTTCTCGGAATATATTTATTTCATCTAAGTTGTCTAATTTGTTGGCATCAAGTTCATAGTATTCCCTTATAATTTTTTTAGTTTATGAAGGGTCAGTGGTATTGTCTTCTCTTTCATTCCTACTTTTGGTGCTCTATGTCTTCTCTCTTTTTTTTTCTTGGTTAATCTAGCTAAAGGCTTATTAATTTTGTTGAAGGACGCTTACTGTTAACACTTTTTTTTTTTTCTTAAGCTAATTTGAATTAAGTTCCTGTTGCTTGCAACCTGGGATGCTAACTAACATACAGAAGTTTTTATAGAATCTATTAGGCCTTGGGCAAGGTGGAAGCCTAGGTAGTTGGAGGGACCTATTCAGCAGGTATATGGACCCTTCCCCCTGAGCAGTACCATCTTTGTGCTTCAGCCCCCAACCCTGTTCAGTCTGTGTCTCAGCTCAAAATTCAGTCCTAGGAGAATGAATCTAGTTGGTTCAGTGTAAGTCAAGTCCCCCTGCTCTAATCAACTGAGACTTGGAGGAGGGTAACAGAGTTCCATCATAGGTGCTGAGGTCTTGCCTCTGCTGATCCTACAGAAAAGGGATCTTTGAAACCTGAATCAATACCCTGACAAGGTTTACCACAGATCCACAGAGTATTCTTCAGGCCTGCCTTATTTCCTCTTCTGAAGCAAATTAATCATGGCCTTAAAATGAAGCTTTGTGGCCTCCAACTCTGGCATAGTTTCCCCAAATACCCTACAGCTTTAGGTGGGGGAGCCGGAGAAGGGAATGTATTTGCTTTAAAAAAAATTAAACATAACACAGATATAGAAAGGTGCATAAAGTGTACTGTTTAATACATCATTTTGAAACAAACATGTAACCATCACTGAGGTAAAGAAATAGCATATTATCACCACTTCAGAAGTCCCTTTTATGTATCCTGTCCCAATCACACCCACTCCGTCTTCCCTAGAGTTAACCACTATCCCACCTTTAATAATAACTTTCTCAAATTTCTTTATATTTTTATCCGTTAAGTATGCATTCCTAAACTATACAGTTTAGTTTTGCCTGTTTGCCTTTATATAAATAGAATCATATTGTATGTGTTCTTTTGTGTCTTGATTCTTTCTCCTAAGGTTTTAAGATTCCTCCATGTCATTGTCTATAGTTGTTTGCTCATTTTTCTTGCTCTATAATACTACATTATCAGAATATTCCACAGTGTATCCATTCTGCTGATGAGCATCTGGGCTGTTTCCATTTTTTGAATGTGATGAACATTTTCATATGCATAGTGTGGCACACAGTGGTTCTCAGATTTGAGCGTGCATCAGAATCCCCTCAAGGGCTTGATAAACACAGATTGCTGGGCTATACCCTCAGAGTTTCTGATTCAGTACCTCTAGGGTGATGCCCAAGAATTTGTATTTCTGCTAAGTTCCCAGATGCTGCTGATGCTATTGGTTCAGGGATCACAGTTTGATAACCACTGTTTGGGGCATATACTTGGGAATATATTGCTGGGTCAAAAGGTATGAGAATCTTCAATTTTGCTAGGTAATGGTTTTCTAAATTGGTTGTACCAGTTGATACTATCACTGGCAGTGTATGGGTGTGCTTGTCACCTCACATCTCACTAACACTGTGCCACTCTGGTAGGTGTGTAGTGGTAGTTCATTGTGCTTTTTGTTTGCATTTCCTGATTCCTGTTGCAGTCAAGTAGCTTTTTAATGTTTTTTGGGCATCTGGGTTTCTTCTTTTTGAAGTACACATTCAAGTCTTATTCCCATTTTTCTACCGAGTTGTATATTGAGTCTTTTCCCCAATTGAGATTTATGAGTTTTTATATTTCTGAATATGAATTCTTTGTATTTTTGTGTGTGTGTGTGTGTGAAGAAGATCAGCCCTGAGCTAACATCCATGCCAATCCTCCTCTTTTTGCTGAGGAAGACTGGCCCTGGGCTAACACCTGTGCACATTTTCCTCCACTTTATATGGGACGCTGCCACAGCATGGCCTGACAAGCGGTGCATCGGTGCACGACCCGGGCCGCCAGCAGTGGAGCACGTGCACTTAACCGCTACGCCACGGGGCCGGCCCCTCTTTGTGTGTTTTACATGTTGCAAATATCTTCTCCCTCTTTTTGGCTCACTTTTTTCATTCTGGTATCTTTTGATGAATTAAGGTGTTTTAAAGTTTAATTTAGTCAAAATTATCAGTCTTTTCCTTTTAATTAATGCTTTTTCTGTCATGTTTTAAGGAACCTTGTTGTTCCCTAAGATCATGAAGATACTCTGTATTATCTTCATTGCTTTGTTATTTTGCTGTTCACATTTTATTCTCTAGACCACCTGAAATTGATTTTTGCATTGTGTGAGTTTCTTTTTTTCCATGTGGATGTCCAATAGTGCTAGCACAGTTTATTGAAAAGATTGCTCTGAAGTGCCACCTTTATCATTAATCAAGGGTCCATTTAAGCCCAAGCTGTTTCCGGGTGTTCTACGTTATTCTTATGGTCAATTTGTCCCTGCTACAAAATCATGATGTCTTGATTATATAGCTTTACGATAAGTCTGAGATCTGAGTAAGGCCTCTCACCTAGTACTTTTTTTTTTTTTTTTGTGAGGAAGACCAGCCCTGAGCTAACATCCAATGCCAATCCTCCTCTTTTTTGCTGAGGAAGACTGGCCCTGGGCTAACATCCATGCCCATTTTCCTCTACTTTATATGGGACACCACCACAGCATGGCTTAACAAGTGGTGCATCAGTGCACGCCCGGGATCCTAACCAGCGAACCCCGGGCCGCCGCAGCAGAGTGCGCGCATTTAACCGCTTGTGCCACTGGGCTGGCCCTCACTTAGTACTTTTTTTGGGAATGTCTGTAAGCTAGTCTTGGTCTTTTGCAATTCTATATAAGCTTCAGAATCAACTTGTCAGGTCTTCTCCCTACCCCTTAAAATAATCACTGTTGGGGTTTTAACTGGGATTACTTTGAATCTATAGAGCAGATTTGGAAAAATACCAAAAATACTATTTTGGTAAGTCCTGCAATTATCCTTGTAGAAGTGTTTACATCTTTTGTTAGATTTACTTAAAATGGCCCCCAAGCTTAGTGCTGAAGTGCTGTCTAGTGTTCCTAAGTGAACGAAGGCTGTAATATACCTTATGGAGAAAGTAATTATGTTAGATAAGCTCTGTTCAGGCATGAGTTTGCTGTTGGCTGTGAGTTCAGTGTTAATGCATCACTACATGTATTAAATAAGGTGTCTTAAAACAGAAGGACACATAAAACAAGGTTATGTATTGATTGGTTGATGAAAATGTTTTCAAAGTCTTGCAGGAACCTAACCATGTATTTCCCTTAGGGACAGTGGTTCAGTATATTCACTAATTCAGTGTTTATGGTGACTTGATAGAACATAACTACCGCAAATAATGAGAATCAACTATATCTAGATCTGTATTTTTTTCCACTGAACAATTTGAGAGTAAGCTGAGGTCAGTTGTCCCAAAAATGTTATTTATAGCAAAAAGAAAACAATATAAGAAAAACTTCCCTTTTTATTCCTTTCCTTTCTGGTCTGGGATTACACGTCTTTTTAGTCTCCTTTAATTTGGAATTCTTTCTCAGTCTTTCCTTACCTTTCATGACCTACACATTTTTGAAGAGTTCAGACCACTTACCTTTATGAATATTTCTCAATTTGAGTTTGTTCAATGTTTCTTCATAATTAGATACAGGTTGTGTATTTTCAGCAGGAATATCATAGAAGTGATGCTCTGTTCTTCTCAGTGCATCAATATTAAGAGACACATCATGTTGATTTGGTCCTATTATCATTGATGTTAACTTTTATCACTTGGTTAAGATGGTGTCTGCCAGTTTTCTCTGTTATAAAGTAATGAATAAGAATTTTGTGGGGAGATACTTTTTGAAACTGCATTAATATCCTGTTCCTCACAAACTTAAATCCACTTGTTTTTGCATCCATTGCATCCATTGATGATTCTTGTCTGAATCAGTTATTACTATGATGGTTCCTAAATGATGATTTTCTAATTCTCTCATTCCTTCTAAGTTTATTAGTTAGCATTCTACTACAGAATAGAGCTTTACATTCTCCCCTATGTATTTATTTATTCATTTATTTATTTTTATCAGTATGGATTTATGGATTCCTATTTTATTCAGTCAGTTTTAATCTATTACTGCTCAAATTTTCCCAGATTTGGCCAGTGGGAGCCCTTTCAAGCTGGCTCCTGTGTCCTTTTGACACACTCCCATCATTCTTTGAACACTTTTTTATTTTCTGACCCAATAAGATATTCCAGACTCATTTGTATTTTCCTTGTCCCAGACCTGAAAGTCAGTCATATCTCCAAGGAACACTGGTTCCTTTTAGTAGGGAGTGGTCTTTTAGAAACAATATTTGAGCTCTAGGTATGCTCATTGCTATGGGATGTCATTGCTTCTAGGTATTTCCTGCAGGCAGAGCTCTGACATACTTTTTTTTGTTGTTGTTGTTGAGGAAGATTAGCCC